CCCGATCCATGCCACCAAACCTCACTTCAATAGAAGAAACCACGTGCTTTTCCTTCTGTACTTTCTAATGTTTATTCCCTTTTTATCTGTTTAATAAGAGTTAGTTTTTGAGTGGATTTGTAATGGGGAATGGCTGATAGAAGTAATGGAAACTGAGTGCGAAATTCGATATTTTTAATGACTGAATTTACTTGCCTTATAAACTCATTCAATGAAAGGAATCCAGCTGATTGTCTCATTTTCCTCCTTTATAGCATTTTGAATGGAAGTTTCGGATAACAGGAAACAGTCACGTTTAATTCTTCTGTTGTCATTAAAGTGAAGCACAAGTGGTTTCAGTGATTATTAATTTCACGTATATACATTGCGCGAGATTTGCGTATTGATTTGAGCCGCGGTGGCTCAGGGAATAGAGCGCTCGCCATCCAATGAGGTGAACCGGGTTCGAATCCCAGCGATGGAGGATCGATACGAATTTCACATCCGGCTCGCACCGACTACAGTGCTGATGTGAAATATCCTCAGTGGTAGACGGTTCGTAGGTTAGTCCCTTTGCCGTCTGGCTAACCGTGGAAGGTTCTCGTAGCCTTGCTCTCCATGTAACGCAAATGAGGGTTAGTTTCATCAAAAGGCCATCTACGAAGGCAAACATTTGCCCTAATACTTGATCCAGGAGTTCCCTTGTCTTCTGGATTGAGTTCAAAATGGCAAGGCTACGGAGTTGAACATGAGTAGTCGCAAGTCCAAAATTAGATCTGCTGTTCAACAACGGTTATAAAATAAAATGAATGGACCTAATTTTTAATTCCAACTGGCTGAATTGTTTTATGAGTTTTGTTTAAGTTAAGATTAGGGAATATACGTAGTAATATATTATCTGACAAATATTGAATTTTTTCTGCATTATATTGTGCGGAAAGAGTTCATTTTATTCGCAAACCTATGTGTGTCATTAGAGGAATATGTGTAACACCATTTTATAACTGAACGTTGTAATTAGTATACCCTTGGAAAAGATAATATCGAAACAGGAAGACAGATTATGTTGCTCAAAATTAGCGACACGATACAATTTTTCTAATTGGCTCTACGAATTAATATTTTTGGAAGGGGGGAATGTTAAATGAAAGTTCAAATTGGATCGAATCATTAAAAAAGTATGTAATTTATTAGTTTCTATAAAAAAAAAAAATTGTTGCTAATATTTTCACAATGTAAATTTTTCCATCAATATTTTACTGATTGAACGATTTTATACTTCATTATTTAGTCAATGAGCTGCGGTTGATCCATGGGTAAGGTAATGAACAGTTGGGAAGAACTGGGGTTCGATCTCTCCCAGCTTGTCACCAGTTTGTCTGAGAAGTAAAGGCTACCTGTGCGCAATGCTGACGACCGCATTGCCACAGTCAGCAATTGCCACCTTGTGGAGCCCTAACCTCCTTGAACCCTCTGAAACACAATCAATTAATAAAATAAACTATGCAGAGATTGATATATATATAAAAGAGGAAAGAAATCAATTCGCAGCTAAGATGAAGAAAATTTTTCATTCCCTCATAATACAAATAATTTAGTAATCGGTAAATTTTGTGGAAAAACGGATAGAAATAAAACATGTTTTGCGAGAATCGTGCTTTAAAATAAAAATACAGTTGCAGTAGTTAAAAATTTAATTATAATGGAATTGTAAAATAATGGAATTCTAATTAATTGTAAATGGAAAGTTTACTCATCTTATTTAAAATATCTTAATTCGTTGAATTTAAATAGTGAACAACAATACGGATATGGTTCGGATATAGTAAACGTGACTTTATTCCTAATATTTCCAGTATATATATATAATAATTGATAATAATTAATAATTATTCAATAAATTAAATAAAACCAGCCTATAAACAGATGAAATGAAAACAATTATTTTTAAAATGATCAATAGTTTTGTTGCTTCCTGTGAAATATCTTTTCAAATATATACGAATTATCCTTCGCAAGTAGTCAAATAAGCGTCACCACAATACGGGTGACGCGGTCCGATCAGAAACTTCGCAGTCACCCGAATATGGGTGGCGCGGCAGTCAACGTGCTAAATGAATGGCTAACCGCTGCTTCCATCGAAAATCCATAATTCAATCTATTAAACTTATCGGAAAGATAGTTCAGTCTCTTTTGTTTCGTAAAGTTCGATGTCTAAGGAGCTTTTTGCAATGGATTTTATTTTATAACCATCGTTGAGAAGTCGATCCAATTTTTGAGTTTACGATTACTAATATTCAACTCCGTAGCCTTGTCATTTTGAACCCATCCAGAAGACAAGGAAACTCCTGTATCAGTACCATCAGAGGTATTGATTTGTTATGGGAACATGGAGGACTTTGCGACTCGACAGATTTAACGTGCATCAGTCACCATTTACTACACGGGGAGTCTTCGGCCGGCGAGGATCGAACCCACGACCTCTTGGATATGGGCCCAGCGCCCTACC